GGGATACGGTGACCTGTGAACGATGAGCCTACCGGGCCCCGCCCCTTAAACTGTAGGTGAATAGCACGTCCAGGCAGTAGCTTCATTTTATTTCCTCTCTCATGTATGCAGAGCCTTGTTCTGTAATAAGAAACTTAATTTGTCTTCTTTTTTTGTAGGGTTAATTTAATGTTAGAGTGGTTAACTCTTAGTTGGGATACGGTGACCTGTGAACGATGAGCCTACCGGGCCCCGCCCCTTAAACTGTAGGTGAATAGCACGTCCAGGCAGTAGCTTCATTTTATTTCCTCTCTCATGTATGCAGAGCCTTGTTCTGTAAGAAACTTAATTTGTCTTCTTTTTCTGTAGGGCTAATTAAATGTTAGAGTAGTTAACTCTTAGTTGGGATACGGTGACCTGTGAACGATGAGCCTACCGGGCCCCGCCCCTTAAACTGTAGGTGAATAGCACGTCCAGGCAGTAGCTTCATTTTATTTCCTCTCTCATGTATGCAGAGCCTTGTTCTGTAATAAGAAACTTAATTTGTCTTCTTTTTTTGTAGGGTTAATTTAATGTTAGAGTGGTTAACTCTTAGTTGGGAGACGGTGACCTGTGAACGATGAGCCTACCGGGTCCCGCCACTTAAACTGTAGTTGCTTTTTTTTAATTTTTTGAATTTACTTTAGTTATGTTTTAAGGCTAACTAGGCTTACTTTAGTTATGTTGTAAGGCTAACTAGGATATAGGGTAGTTAATTACTGGCTGAGAGACGGTGACCTGTGAGTAATGAGCCTACCGGTCCCCGCCCCTTAAACTGTAGGTGAATAGCACGCCCAGGCAGTAGCTTTATTTATTTCCCTCTCTCATGTATGCAGAGCCTTGTTCTGTAAGAAACTTATTTTGTTTTCTTTTTCTGTAGGGCTAATTAAATTTTAGATTAGTTAACTCTTAGTTGGGAGACGGTGACCTGTGAACAATGAGCCTACCGGGCCCCGCCCCTTAAACTGTATAGTTGCTTTTTTAATTTTATTTATGTAGAGTTTCGTTCTGTCAGGAACTTAATTATTTTTCTGAGGGGTTAAGGCTAACTAGAATATGGGGTAGTTAATCATTTGATGGGAGTCGGCGGTGTCCTGTGAACAATGAGCCTACCGGGCCCCGCCCTTTAAACTGTAGTTGTTTTTTTTTAATTTTATTTATGTAGAGTTTCGTTCTGTCAGGAACTTAATTAAGTTTGTATTGCTGTAAGGCTAACTAGAATATAGGGTAGTTTATCATTTGATGAGAGCCGGTGTCCTGTGAAGAATGAGCCTACCTGGCCCCGCCCCTTAAACTCTAGGTGAACAGTGCACCCAGTCACTTGCTATTTGGGGGAAGAGGTTAGTTTTGTAAGGTACTGATTGTTCACAAAATAATCGAAAGGCTCACCGGAATTTAGTTTGTTAGTTTTTAGTCTGTAGAGGGGGGAGGGGGATTTGAATTTGGCCCCATCAAATTAAGGGGGACCAAGTCCCAAACACAGGTTTTCCTACAAACAGACACCAGAAATACAATGTCTGTATTGTTTGATAGTGCATATATTCAATGAGTATCCATATTGCATGCCATGTTCGTATTTTGCATGATTTCCGAATTTTATTCTCTGCAATCGGTCAGGAGGTTCGTTAGTGTAGATATATGTAGTTCCTGGCTGAGCGATGGTGAGCTGTGAATGACTAGCATACACGGCTCTCCCCTTAAACTATAGGTGAAAAAACAGCACGCTCAATTATATACACTGGTTTGTTTTTTTGTTTTTATTTTTGTTTTCTTTCTGTAGACCTTTGCATAGTTTTCCGTACATTCAATGACACTGCTGTCTTCACGTTTTTATTTTTTTGTGTGAACATAGTTTACCTATTATCATTTATATTTTGGGATGTAAGCCTTTTGAATGATTCACTTTATCACTGGAAATAGTCATAGTGCTCCATGGATTGCGTATACACCTCAGATATTATTGGCCCCTTCCATTCTGTTTGTAGAGGCATGCATTTCACAATGCCTGTCTTTGTCCCCTTCAGTATTACTCAAGTTCCATACCTTACGATGGCTTGGTACTGTAGGTTTCCAAACGTTTTGAAGTAATGTAATTCTTTTTATTGGGGGCGAGAAGAGGGAGGCGAGAGAGTGGTGGCGGAGGGAGAGGCGGTAGAGTGGCGGTGAGGGGCAGGGGAGAGGGGAAGGGGCGAGAGATGGGAATAGGGGAAGGGGAAGGAAGGGAGAGAGAGTGACGGGGGTATTTCCAGGGGGGGGGGCTATTGTACGGATCAGGCAGGAGAGCCCGTCTTATTTTTAGGTTATAGGGTATAATTTTTACAGCAGTAAATTCGGGACTAAAACGGGAAAGGGTTGCAAATGTTTTTACACATGACTTTCTTATCTCGGTGGTTCATTGAAATTTGCACCATCCATTCCGTGCCTAACCTTTTGTTTGAGTCTGATCAGTTATGGTGACAAGCATGATTCTGGAGTGCCGCTGGTGACTTCAAAAGCAGGTTTCCCTCTCTACCACTGGATCATGGAATGGCAGAGACAACCCTAGAGCCGGAGAACAAGCAGAGAACGATGTCAAATCCCGCTGCTGATGGTCATGTTTGTGAGCGTATGATCTATTGAAATAAAGATTTGTGAGGCAAGTGCTTGCTTAGTATGTGCACTGCTTACAGTGCTTATATTCGACAGGCATAGCTTCACAGGTCCTTGTTTCAGTCGTAGTCAATGTAGTCACTGTGATGGTCTTAGATCTAATATCCTGGTCCGATCATAGGGGAATGATTAGGGTTTTTGGTTTAATTGAGAAAAAATGGATACCCCCCCCCCCCCCCCCTACATCTGAATAAAACCTTCACACGTTGGGGCAGGCTGTGGCATTTCATTTAGCATTCAGACAAAGATTCAACCTGGGAATTAATTTCAGTAGATTTCGATTTTTTTTTTTTTTTTTTTAATTTTGTGAAAATGAGAATATAATTATAGACTATTTGTTTCCAATCAGTCATTTTATAAGGTATCCATTTTCATTATTTATATATATGTTGAACAAGTCAAAATGTATATAAATTCATTTCAGAATCATAAAGAAAAGAATCTTTGATAAATTATCAATATTCCGTTATAGACAAGAAAAACTAAATCATTTTGACTTATACGCTTTACGTGCGTTACATACCCCCTTTTTACACTTTTATTTGTTTTCAAAAACAAAAAAGTACATTGATAGGACCAAGAATTATTTTTTGAACATTTTGTATCTCTTATAAAACCTTTGATTTTTTATACAAGATGCTAGAATTCTTCATCGATTAATAATGGACGCAATATCAAAATTTCCGCAGATTCACGAATTCACTTAGCTCTGTCTAATAAGATACAGAACTGTGAAGCGTATTGCGCTTTGCGGCGTCATAAACGAACCGCCGCGGGTATCTGAACGAGGCTTTTAGTGCATGGTGTTAATTTTGCTTCTTCTGGCTAGAGAGAGCGGGAAGAGTCCTTGATAGAATACTCCTGAAACTCCTGATTCCCAATCTAGGGGCAGTTTACAGGCCTGGGAATGAAATGACACATATTGTCTTGTTTTCACACTTTGGTATCCAGTAGTTACCCCTCCTCCTCAAATCTCTACTAAAGATTAAAGATAAACTTGAGTTCTGGTTGTGCGATTGCATTGTGAAAGAAAAGGTGTGGAATGGATCAGAAAAGTTGATCATATAGCATGTAAGTAATGGTGTGTAATGCAAGGTTCTGGAGTCATCAAACTCATCATAAATTTGGCAGAGTCTTGGTAAAGTAACAATCACCTACACAGAAAGATTTATATGGGACAACACACATGGTGTCGGGGCTAGTACTACCCTGATTTCCTTATCTTTCTATGCTCATTACTCAGCTAGTATACATTTTCTTCCTAAATTGTTAGGCACATGACATTTATTTGTAATCTTGAAAATTCAGTGTAAGTTTCGTAAGATTCTGTGAGAATTCATTTTCTTTTTTTACCAGAACTCAAGTTTATCTTGAAAGGTCAAACATCTCTGTACATGGTTGCTTAGTCAGATATACGATACATTTGGGACTTTGCACTGGAAAACGTAATGATAATGGAGGCTTGTTTTTTTTGCAGGTCTTTCTGAAAGGCATTTTATCTTTCATGTTTGTTTCATATCAAGTCATATGGTTGCTTACTTCAAATACAAATGGTGATACGTGCTTGTTGCAATTAAGGCAAAAAATTCCTTTCAGGAAGTTAGCTTTCTAGCCAAAATGTTATTATATGTCTTTGGTCATATATCTAATTTTCAGTTTCCCATTTGTAAATGTTAAACTGCCACCCCCCCCCCAAAAAAAAGACATCCAAACGATAGAAACTTTTTCATATTATACATTATCATTGGAATGATACAAGTGGATGTACTCGTAATGGTAAAAAATGAGCAATACACATATATTTATTCTAAATACTTTTTTTTTCTGCAACCTTTGATAAAAGTGTATTTTTGCCCTAAAAAGAGTTCCTGGCTCAAGTAACAGAATTTATTTATACATCTTTGATTATGCCTTAAATATAGTGATTTTTTGGGCTGGCCACTTTAGCCATTAATTTTCAAGTTTGCACAACACACCTTATGTGACGAGAAATGCCATGGCTAAAATAGCACTAGTCTTGTGTTTTGAGATGGGATATATCACGTACATGGCTTCTCGATTAATCTATTCCTGTGATTTAGGCTTTCTTTGGGATGCAATATTATTGTGCACCAGTGACTGAAGTAGGCAACACGATGACGATATTCTAACATGAGATTTCTCTACCCCTCCCCCTCACTTTCTTAATCGGAGCTTCGCTGGTTCTTTCTCCCCCGGCTCAACCCTCTTGGATGTTGACCTCTGGTCATCCCCTTATTCGCACTGCATATCACTCTCATACATCCATAGGTTAGCAGGCTAAACATTTTTCTCTTCTTGTTCCCAACCTCCAGGGGGTCTCCTGCCATTTCATGTGAAGATGGTGTAGAAGGGAATCTGTGTTTGGAGCCATCAACTGTTCTCCTGGATCATGCTTGTCAGCTGAACTGTGATGACCCAAACATCAGGTTTCGACACTGGATGGATGAGAAGCAGATTTCATGGAATCAAGGCAGTAAGAAAGTCACGTTTAAAAGCATTTGCCATTAATTTTAAGGTATTTTAAAGGGTTGGTCCAAAATATGTAGAATACATCCTTTCTGTCATGATTGGTTTAACATGACAATTTTCGGCATGGCTGTACATTGTCAAATTTCCCAAATGGTATTCTACATACATTAGTTAGGATTTCGGGGCTTTGTGGATTGATGTAAGGTGGGAGGGGAGGTATTCATACTTTAAAGGGATGGCTTGTTTGCGTAAGTTACTTACAGTATGTCAGTTAGATTCTTCATGGAGGAGGGGGCACGGGTCGGTCTGACTCTTTAATATCCTAGTGGTTTTAATGATTAGATATTTCTATTTGTATGCTTTGAGAGCATGTCCTAGATTCCTTCCTTTTGTGGTGTGTATATATTTAGGGTATGCCCGTTGTTGTTTTTTTAAGGAGAGGGGGCGGGCCTGCTGTGTCCTTTAACTTCGCGAGTCTTATTGATGTAATATCCTTTCTGTTTGCTGGCTTCTTTGGGGATATGGTCTAGATTTGTTTTCTCCCCTTTTAGTTGTTGTTGTATTCTGGATGAAATTCATTGATGGGCCACGCCTGTTAATTTTTCGTTGTTGTATATCTCTGGCCAATTTTGAGCACACCTTGTCTCATAATTGCTACTGCAATACCGTAAACAGTACAGCCAGCGACGTGCTTAATAATCAGAGTTGATTATAAATGGTCATTGAGGCAATTATGACTTAAGATCATAATAGTGTCAGCGACATGTCTTCGAGCTGGAAGACTTTGACTAGCAGTGCCGCAAGGCTTGTGTTTTCCGCTTCACTTCGGACTCACACACAAAGTCCTGGACTCAATATGCATTGGTTGCCTGTGCGACATAGAATAATTTTCAAAATCCTACGGCTAGTCAACAAGTCTATTAATTTCCAGAGTGCGTAAATGATTGCCTGGTTCGTTGTCCTCATGTCCATCATTTACATGCCTACTAATCGTCTCTCTAAGAAAAGTGTGGGAGAACGTCTTACCCACTGATGGAACAAGATACCTACTATTGTGAAGACAGTTTCATCTTTTGACTATTTCAAGAAACGTATGAAGTCCTATTTATTGTTAGAGGACAATGGATTGTGTTGACTCACCTGGTCTTTTTTTAAAGCGATACGCTATTGTTTAGGTGACCCAAATAACTTTGTGGAGTAATGTGGGTAACTGTGTAACCGCAAAAAAGGCGCTTTATCGAATACCTGGTTTGGAATGGATTAGATTGGATACCTGATTGAAATCCCCACAACAATCGAATCAATTTGGCCTCTTTCCTTGTGATGACATCCAACATAGAGCCGACCGAGTGAGGAACTAGGAACGGACAAGCAAACCCGTTTAGACCTTTACCTTGTGATCACATCCAACATAGAGCCGACCGAGTGAAGAACTAGGGACAGACAACCAAAATCAATTTGACCTCTTTCCTTGTGATGACATCCTACATAGAGCCGACCGAGTGAGGCACTAGGTACAGACAACCAAACCAATTTGTCCTCTTTCCTTGTGATGACATCCTACATAGAGCCGACCGAGTGAAGAACTAGGAACGGACAAGCAAACCCGTTTAGACCTTTTCCTTTTGATGACACGCCACATAGAGCCGACCGAGTGAGGGACTAGGGACAGACAACCAAACCAGTTTTATAGACTCTTTCCTTGTGATGACATCCTACATAGAGCCGGCCGAGTGAAGAACTAGGAAAGGACAACCAACCCGTTTAGACCTTTTCCTTGTGATGACACGCCACAAAGAGCCGACTGAGTGAAGGACTATAGGGACAGACAACCAAACCAACTTCACCTCTTTCCTTGTGATGACATTCTACATAGAGCCGACTGAGTGAGGGACAAGTTTACCAAACCAATTTGGCCTCTTTCCTCGTTATGACACGCCACATAGAGCCGACTGAGTGAGGGACCATAGGGACAGACAACCAAACCAATTTGAACTCTTTCCGTGTGATGACATCCTACATAGATCCGATCGAGTGAAGAACTAGGAAAGGACAACCAAACCAATTTGACCTCTTTCCTTGTGATCACATCCTACATAGAGCCGACCGAGTGAAGAACTAGGAAAGGACAACCAACACGTTTAGACCTTTTCGTTTTGATGACACGCCACATAGAGCCGACTGAGTGAGGAAATACGGACCAACAACCAAACCTGTTTAGACTCTCTCTTTGTGATGACACGCCACATAGAGCAGACTGAGTGAGGGACTAGGGACAGACAATCAAACCAGTTTAGACCTTTTCTTTGTGATGATATATAAGAGCCGATGGTGGGACAAATCCTCATGGAAAACAGTCAGAACTGGCATATGAAATGTGTTGACACTCTTGACACGGACCAACAACCAAACCTGTTTAGACTCTCTCTTTGTGATGACACGCCACATAGAGCAGACTGAGTGAGGGACTAGGGACAGACAATCAAACCAGTTTAGACCTTTTCTTTGTGATGATATATAAGAGCCGATGGTGGGACAAATCCTCATGGAAAACAGTCAGAACTGGCATATGAAATGTGTTGACACTCTTAAGCAGCCTCACTGAATTGTTCATAATGAATGTAAATGGACCGTTGTAAAGTTCAGTAGAGTCACATCTCTAAAAATACGACAGCCTTGAAGCGTGGAAGTACTGCCGACAGAGAATGCTAGAGTCTGAGGGATGAGAAACAGTATGATCGCCAAAGCCCGATAGATGGCACCTAGAGTTTACATCTCAAGTTGATAGTACATGCAGGCAGGAGACCCTGGTACTGATGCCCTACCGGAATGAGTTCCAAGAAAGACTGCTTGATACGGAATACAGATAATATATACATTGTATGACATACAATGATTTTAGCACTCAACATCCTGGCCGAAGAGATTGGAAAACTTCAGCACTCTGCCAACTGAAAGATTGTGTAATGTGGTTGAATGCATGAACTACCAGACTATTGTCTTTATTCCCCATACAAGGAAGTATTTGCTACATATCATCAATGGGGGGGGGGGGTAGGCTTTTTACTTGAACCTGAGCTTCCTACAAAGATAAGCTTTATTTGGAATGGCTGTGGAGCCTGTGATGATTTTGCAAGCATCCGGCACACTAAACGATGAGATTAGTGAGACAATGTCATTTTTATCGAGCTCATAATTGATGGAAGCAAGCATATCTTTGCATTGGAAGAGGAGTCAGTGGCTAATTTTACCTGGGAGTGAAGTGATTCAAGTGATACTGTGCACTGCCCCCATCTCATCTTATCCCTATGCAGACTTGATGAGACATGACTACATAGACGATGGGGAATCCCATGCCATTTGATTCAGCTCATGAAGATCTTTATGATTGAAGCACACTTAAATTAAAGAGGAGACGGTTACTGGTTAGGACAATGCCTAGGACCATGACGAGGGAGGCAATGGTGTATACCATCTCCATCTCATTTCAACCTCTCTCTATTCTGCATCAATTGAGAAGAGCAACTGATGGTTTGTTAACAGAAGTCCTGGCTGGAGTCTGAACAGCCTGAGATATGCAGATAACAGCACCCTTTATGCCACACGCATAGAAAAAGTTGAAGAACTGTTGGAAACAGTAAATAGAGAAAGCTAAGCTCTTGGGTCGCGTATCAATGTCGCCCAAACCAATCTGATTGGCCAAATGAGTCACATTACAACTATAATGCCCGATTTTCGCTAACTTTGTTTAAAAAAGACTGCAAAGAACGCGCGGAAAATTATTTCTGCCTTGTGGTTGTGGAAAAGATCGCGAAATTTTCAGGTGGAGGGAGAGGGTGAGAGAGAGGAAAGGGGGTGAGAGGGAAGTGGGAGGGGAAAGGTGAAAGAAAGGGAGAGTAGATTGAGGAGGGAGGGGATCTGGGGGACAGAGAGGGAGGGGAGAGGGGGATCGGGTGGGCGACTGAGACGGAGAGAAGAGGGGAGAGAGGGGATCGAGGGATTGGGGAAGGAGATGGAGAGGAGAGGGGTGGGGATGAGGGACTTAGACGGAGAGAAGAGGAAAGGGAGGGGGTCGGGGTGGGGACAGAGAGGAAGATGAGAGTTTTTTCTCTCTCTTCATTAATGGGTGGGGGTGGGTACTGTGTAGTGTTTTTTTTAATATAGTTTAGTTTAGTTTAGAGCCACACACTTTAGGGAACCAAATATTGGGCAAAAAGGGGGCAAATGCGTTTTTACATGACTCTTTTACTGTGTTGGTTCCTTGAAATCTGCATCATCCATGCAGTGCCTAACCTTTTGTTTGAGTCTGATCAGTTTTAGGTGACAAGCATGATTCAGGAGAGCTGTTGGTGGCTTCAAATGCAGATTACCTTCTGCATCATCGGCTCATGAATGGTATTGAGGCAACCCTAGAGGAGCAGAGCAGAAGAAGAGGGAGATGTGGCGCACTGTTAACCTGACAGATGTGTGAGTGTTGAGGCCCAGCGCATACTACATGATCTCACCACGACCTGGTCTCGGGAGAAAAGGCAAAGGGTTTGGTCTTAATTCTTGTTCATGCTAATCTTCCTCATCAAGGTTCTTCACTTTTCAAGAGCAGTTGGAACCTTGATGAGGAAGATTTGACATTGTTAGATATTGCACACCGGGACCCTTTGCGTATTCTTCTAAAATCAGGCCGTTGTTGGATCATGTATTGTGGGCTGGGGTAGTGTGAATGGAAGGCTGGAGGTACACAGGATGAGGGAGAGTCATCGGGGGAGGATACCCAATAATCCTTGCAAAGTCTCAAATATGTATTTTTTTTTAATTGGGTTTTCCTCTTGGCAGCAACAGGATTAAACAAGGGGCAACCCTCCTTCCGGAGATTTTCTGTTT